TTTCGAAAACAATAAAATTTGTAATGTCTGTAAATCTGTAAAGAAATTTTAAAACAATAAATTTATGTTTTTAAGTGTTCTTACACTACTAGATTTTTTAATATATTTCTATTTATTTGCAAGCAGCTAAAAATTGATTACGGAATGGAAGTTTGTGTAATAGTGACACTGGTGACCTACAATTTGACAGAAATTATTGGATTTCTGTGCTATCTTTCATGACAATAGATCAAACTCTGCCAAACAGATTTCACAATTGCAATATTGCATGTCGGTATTGATTGGCCTCGTGACTGATCTGCACTGACTGACATTCAGAACTATCAGGTTCTACAACAATCATTACATCCACATGACATGACCTTTGAAACTGATTTCTTCTTGCTTGATATCTGATTACACTCAGATATTCATTAATATTCACCCGACTATTAAGAGTTTTACCATCAATGTGATTTTTAATTTGTATTTTTAATTTTTTTGCTGGGATATTGTTATAAAAATTTGCAATATATTTTGTTTAACATATTATAATATGATTTAAAGCATATTTTAACATGATCAAAAAGTGATCTGCAACGCCATCAATGCGTTTAGTTTTACGCCGCTTTTAGCAATATTCCAGCAATACCAGAAATGGGCTTCACACACTGTTGTACCAAACACTTTAACCACTGAGCTACCATACCACCCCACAGTACCTTGAACCAAGGGATCAAGGCATGACCGTCTACACAGCAAGGTCGCCAGTGAAGTAGTCGCCTTTACAATTGACTTGAATTCTTGATGCCATTCTGAATACTAAAATTAACTTCTGTCTTAAATCTCTTACTTCAATTTCCCGGGGCCATTGTTTTAAACTTGTACACCAAACATGTGGGACATGGCAGAGATTGTGGCCATAAAATCCCCAATGTATCAAACTCCTACACTAAGTACATATTACTTCCCTCCACAGTTTGGCAGACATTTTGGACATACAATCCCCAGTGTCTCAAACTTTAAGCACATATTACAAGCCTCCACATTCTGGCAGAGATTGTGGCCATAAGATAATCATTGTCTTAAACTCATCACCTAGCACATATTACTACCTTCCACAATCTGGCAGACATTGTGGCCATAAAAAGACATTGTCTTTAAACTCCTGCGCCAAGCCTTCATGTTCAATCAGTGATATGAGACCTGAATTACTCCAAGTAAATCAATCCATTGAGTGACCTATGCTTGTTATCAATGACAAATCGATACATATGCTCTGACATGGGAGCAAAGACATCAATGGAGCCATATGATCATTCTGTGTTCACTGAGGCATGCGTCATGATTCACGGACAAGATGACACTCAGGCATGAGACTTACAAACAAGAATGATAAAAGAGTGTCACAGAAACCGACAGAGTTCATTTCACAATATTTCCCACACAGTGATAACACCTAATGACAATGCAAGAGATTATTATAGACCAGACCCAAATAGAAAATGCTGCTATAACATTGGTAGCTGAATGAGTGAATGTAGCTTATTGACATCCGTTAATATTCAGCCTTCAGTTGGTCTATTGATCGCTTTGGGAGACTGGTCAGTGGAGGAAAAAATCACTAAAAATGAGTGAGTGAGTTTAGTTTTACGCCACTTTTAGCAATATTCCAGCGATATCACTGTGAAATGGGCTTCACACATTGTACCCATGTGGGGAATCAAACCCACTGTCTTTGGCGCGACAAACGAACGTTTTAACACTGGGCTACCCCATCGCCCCAGAAACGAGAGTGAATTACAGGTGAAAAAACTCCCCCATCACATATCCGCCGCTTTGAAATTTTTCAAAATGGAATCTCCAAAATTTTCTTCTTTTCTTTGGTCAATTTTCACAAATTGCTAACTTTTGTGGCAGAAGTTCCATCTGTTCACCATATAATTAAAAAATAAAATAGCATCTTTGAATTTTTTGCAAGCAGGAACGAGCACCAATTTATATAACGATATCACAGTTATAGATAAACAGGCCCTGATAGTCTCTCCCCTCAATATATAATGTGCTGATGTGCGCGTGTGTATCTGTTTCTTTAAGCTAGGAATATGTCAGTAACATAATAGTGGCCTATACAAAGTCAAGTCTGGACCAGATAATCCATTGATTGATATTATAAGCAAAACTGCATGCTAATAGGGTACATTGACATGGCATCAATAAAGTCATACAGTCTGACTTGCTTCTACAGAAGGTCGCTAAGGACCAATTCCAAACCTTAAATCCACAGAGGTTATTTTCAAAGGAACTTCATATTCACACTAAAGTTATTTTGAAATTGACATTCATGCTTGCCAGACATCATATCATGTTCCCAACATCTATACATAGTTCATTACACTGATGGATTCCATTGATCTCCTCACCTGTAACTTAACCAGTGCCTGGTGGAACAATCACAGCTGTCTGTGGGGCACTGCTTGTTACAACCCATTATAACCCATTATCATTACTGACAGACCTGTTGGTTTAAATGAATTATTTTTGTCCATGTGTGGGGAAAGAAGAAGAAACCTTTACAACTCTGGTGAAACCCGTGAGCAACCAACTGTGGTGACAAACCATGACGATTGGACTTCTAACCAGGGGATCCTTGCTCCACTAAGGGACACAACCCATCACAGTAAGAGGTATCTTATCTGCTCAGTGAGTGAGTGGGTGGATTTTGGGAGGGTGGGTGAATGAATGAGTGAGTAGGTGGGTTTTGGGGGAGTGAGAATGAGTGAGTGGGTGGGTTTTGGGTGGGTGAGTGAGTTAATCACTTTGAAATAGTCCAGCAACATCAGAGCAGGCGACACCAGAGACACATACATTACACACGTATGGTGAACTGAAACCAAGGTCGTCAGTGTGATGAGCCAAATCTTTAACCTCCATGACTCCTCAGATCTAATCAGTGGTGAAGAAGGTTAACAACGATGGAAGATAATGATCATACAAGCGTACTGACTGAACCAATACACAATTCTCGTCAGACTTTCTCAAACGAATTCTGCCATCAATGTAATGTGTTCAGGTGTTACTTCTTTAAGAGCATGCTTTAATGTAATCTCCATCATTTTAGGATTGTCTAAAACACTGCAAAAAGAAAGAAGGTTCCATTAATGGATTCTTGAAGCAGCACAATTGCTTATTTTCAGACATACACCCTTTTTCACAGAGATTTTTCAAGAAATTGACAATTTGTTGAAATCAGCACAGCTGATTCTGCATCTGCCATTCCCTCATCTTTCATGTAAACAAATAGTGATGAGGGTACAATCACAACCACACATGAGATGAAGCACATAGTAAGTCATTGGACCAGATTTCCACTTTGAATGCTGCAGTAGTCCTCAAAGGACAAAGCTGGTCTTTTACCAACATCAAAGGACAGAACAGACATAAACATGCGATTTCAATCACAACCTCAATTGCAGGCACGGACAAAACGGAAAGGATTTAACTGCATTTTCACCATAAATTCAAAATGGATTGTCCAGTGGGTATTTGTGCGTCTAAGCATCTGCACAAATTCAGAAGGCGGCCATGACAGTAGTGTGGACCCAAGCTCTGCCTGCATAGATGAATTTGTCTAAAATGCCCATACAATTGGAGATAGCTCCGTATGCCGATCTAGTTATTGGTTATCAATCCTATCATTCTCCTTCATCTTTATTTCCTTCACTTTATTTAATTAGCTCTAGGGCACAACTTGCACATAAAAAGCCATGTTCCCAGTAATATGCCACAGAAGGTCTGCCTGGCTTATAACCCGTCTGCTTACAAGATGAATGGCAGCAGTGTGACCTGCTAAGGTGCACAAATCCTAATGCAGAATACCTCAAAGTGGAAATAATTTTCCAACAGACAAATTGCTCCCAAAGTAATTTTCCAAGGAGCCTAATAGCTCCCTAAGTAACTTTTAAAGGAGCCGGGTGATGATGTAGTGATTGGATCCAAATGGAAATCTATAGAGCAGGACGAGATCTCGAAATTATGACTAGATTCAATGTTTAGCCTATTGAAGGTGAACCTTTCCCTTACAACATTATAATGCATCTAAATACAAGGAACCATGACAGAAAAATGGACTCAATCAAATACAGAAAGAAAAAGTTCTATTCAGATTGTACAAAGAAATTCAGGATTATGTGTATTTGACTTGAGACCTGAATGATCATTCATCCAAAAGAATCTTTCAAATGAAATCATTTTGGTGATGTCTCACTAGTTTCTTGTAGCTGATTCTGAGCCATGCTTTGCAAATGAAACTGACACAAGTGCATATGACACTATATGTCAACAACAACAAGGTTTAAATGGAGAAATCACCTAAATCTGCTGATTCTGATTTGAAGCTCACTGATTCTTCCAGAACCAACAGATTACCATTAAGTGGCTTCTTAGATGTTGGCATGACGAAGAGGAACAAGATGTGATGGTGAGGTGTGGTCATGCTCAGGCACTTAAGAGCTAGGCAAAGTCACTTAATCATCGGGTGACCATGTTTTTGAAGTTAGAGTTTCAGGACTCCAGTCCTAACCCACAACGGCACATATGTGACTAGTCCTTGGATCCAAGAAAGTGACGGTGTTTAGAAAATGTGGCAAGTCTAGATTTTGACTCCTGAGAGTTTCTAGGGCTCCTTTTCATTATATTATATTTTTTTTACCTGAACTTTTTTCACAATTTCAGAGACTAGTTGTTAGTCATGTGATACATGTGGTCTCACCTTAGGCAAGTGAGTTTGTTCAAAATTGCTTCTGTTCACCCCGCAGAAAATGGGTACCGGTTGGATAAAGTCATGTGACTATAACCTTCTAGCGCCTAACAGGGTTATTCGGGGTAATAATAATCAGATTCTGATTAAGTGCCGCTAGCAACACTTGGTGTTTGGAGACTGTGGGCTATAGAAGATGACTTATTATTATATTATATTATTACACGTTTCAGTGTACCCTGTTCCTGCTCCTCCAACTCACCTGCAGTGTGACTGGGCATGTCTTCAGCAGCTGCAGCATGTGCAGGATGTTCTGTGCTTCCTGGATCACAAAGTTCACCTCAATGTCAAACTCTCCTCCCACCAACTGAAACAAGGCAATAGGAGAATATCACTGTCCTGCTTACATCACAATCATTCAATGGTTGCAATCAGTGTAGTGAGTCAGTGAGATAGTGTTACCTGCTTTTAGCAATATTCCAGCAAAATCATGGTGGGAAACCAGAAATGGGCTTTACACATTGTGCCCATGTGGGGAATCGAACCCGGGTCTTCGGCATGACAAGCGAACGCTTTAACCACTAGGATCCCACCATCCCGCTGTCAGTATATAATGTTATGTATGTCTCCATGTCTGATGGTGTCTGGTTTGTTTCAATGCACTGACGTAAAACAATATGCCAAATGTTCATTTTGACTTGTACCATATGTTCCCAGGTCTTCATGAGTGAGTGAGTGAGTTTAGTTTTACGCCCGCGACTCAGCAATATCCCACATATGGCAATGTGTGAAGCCCATTTCAGGTGTAAATAATCGATGTTCTGGAATATTGCTAAAGCGGCGACCAATCCAGTGATCAACAGCGGGTACATGAAAATAATGATCAGCCAATTGGGAAAGATGATTTATGTGTGAGGTCAGATAAAAACAGAGTAACATTTACATTGTTCCTGACAACCGACTGTACTTGTTTATTAAAGGGGAACTTCACTCGAATAAATCACATTTATTCTTATATGAATCAAGTGAACTGTTTTCTTATTTTTCTTACAATGTAAGTATAACCCACAAAATAAGTGCTGATATGGTAGTCCCCAACATGAGGCCTTTTGTTTGCAGAGCCAAACAGGCCAGAGTTACTACCCTTTGATATGGCGCACGGGTCAGGTCTTGATTTTAAACTGGTCTCCTGCCTAGTTCCAAGATATCATTACTATGATAGTAATGCATGGGTTTCTGAAGAACAAGCATCTAACCAATTGAGCTTTATTGGTGACCACCATAGTTTCATTCTACTCACAGTAGATACCAAATGTCTTCATAACAATGTTGACGTCATGGTCATGACATCATATTACTTTACATTTTTCAAAATGACAGGTATGTTCACTGACACAAGAAAAAAAGTTTTCAAAGACTTTTCGTTGTTTCAAGCAACCTATATGCATGAATGTGACATGTAAGTGTCCGAAAAATTATGTCAGTCTGCTGGATGTTATTTTCTTTTTTGTTTTCATTGACGGATCACACATGTAAAAATCTGAGATTGGCTTTGTTTACATTTCAAAACAGCGGCACCCTGACGGTATATTTCGCAGGATTTCAGAAACAGCTTTTTGAGAAAGTCCACTGCACAGTTTATTTTGAACTTTAAAGGATGAGGGTTACACAGGAAGATGGTGTTGTTACAAGAATTGATTCTATTTAAGCAACCAACATGCTAAACACTCAGCAATATCCCAGCTATAGCGGTCTGTAAATAATCGAGGATCAGATAATCCAGTGATCAACAGCATGAGCATCGATCTGCGCAATTGGGAACCGATGACATGTGTCAACCAAGTCAGCGAAACTGACCACCCGATCCCGTTAGTCGCCTCTTGCGACAAGCATAGTCGCCTTTTATGGCAAGCACATGGGTTGCTGAAGACCTATTCTACCCCGGGTCAGGTAGGGACTTGGTGGGCACATGTCATCAAATACCATATATTGATGCTCACGATGTTGATCACTGGATTGTCTGGTCCAGACTTGTTTATTTACAGCCTGACATCATATAGCTGGAATATTGTTGAGTTCAGCATTACAACAAAGAAACAAAACAGCATGTTGTGACACAACAAAGACAGCATGTTGTCAATCAAAACATCCATCTAGCTTTTAACCATATTCCAGCTATATCCACATTGTGACACATTGTACCCATGTGGAATCGAACCCAGGTATATGTACAACGCTTTAACCACTAGGCTACCTCCCGCCCGGATGTCATCAGAATTGTACAAGACATCAAAACATATCAGTAAGATATTATAAGTTGTTCACTGGTCATAGGGGGACATGGGTTGATTGATGTGAGCCGGTGTACCCTCGATGTTTGTTTATGTTCCCTCGAGTCCATCAACCATGGACCACCAGTGAACAACATATTTATCTTACTGAACACCTTAATGTTAATTTTGAATTGTTTAAAGCATGGGTACAAATCTTTTTGTAGCCATCGCTAGATTTCGCTGACAAGAAAAACAGATTTAGAGTTATCTCCCTTCCATCGATTTGCATTTGCAAAACATCGGTAATTTCCGTACATCATACGTGATTCAATGTAATTCGAGATAAAGAATTACTACCACGAAGTACCAAATGAGTTGCCTTTTACAACGGGGTACATTGAAATGTTACTCGCTTGTAAGCGGGGTACATTGAAAATAATAGAAGAGCACTCAGCCAATCAGAAAGAGACATTTATGTGTGAGGTCAGATAAAAACAGATGTAACATTTACATTGTTCCTGAGAACAGACTGTAGTTGTATATTAAATATACAAACAGAAAAGTTCCTACAGAAAAGTCTTGGCGGAAGGTACAGGATCACAAGCCTCTCATCGTACTTACACAAAGTCTATTTGGTAAGCTATTAGTTCCATCCAGTGTTTTAAAATGTTGAAGAGCTAGAACATTACGGACATCAGTCTTGTCAGTAATTATATCATGGCATTCTAAAAAGAACGCTCAATCACCACTACATGACTCCCATGTCACAAGCCATTGTTTGGCAACTGCCTGTCCATACTCCAACATCCCCCAGAACTAGCTGCTCCTCTATGGTTGCATCTGAACAGAACAACCAGCTTGACACGGCTCACATTGATGACACACCATTTTTATCTCAAGCCTGTTGTCAAAATACCCCAACATCAAATATTATTCAATGCACAGACTAGGCTTCAGTATTTGCAGCTGTCGGCCTTGAAGTGTAAACAGGTCTCGGGGTATGGCACAGTTCACTTGTGAAGATGGAAAATATAGACTGATTATCAGCTGAGTATGTTTAGATTCCATATTCAACTACCATATGCAAACCTTTAGAGACCATAATATATAATAAATATTTTATATTTCTAATCATTACATTTACAATGCGAGCTGGGTATGCTCTTATCAATATTCCAGCAATATTACGGACACCAGAAATGGGCTTCACACACTGTACCCATGAAGGGAATCAAACCTGAGTCTCCGGGTAATGAATGAACGCTTTAACTACTACCGCTTTACAACAGACGCCCAGATAAACTGCGTATCCGGGTAAAATACGCATAGAAATTTTCCAATTATGCATTGAAAAAAAAAATGTTGCATACCAATTACGCATTTAAAATGTTAGATACACAAAAAGTTTAAAACAAATGCGTACGGAATATATTTATAAAAATCGCATGTGTAATGAAAAAGACATCGATTGTTATCAAGTTGTACTGTTAGTATAGGACAAGTGTTGTACTGTCAGTATAGGATGAGTGATTTTTTTATGAAATCATTTCCGTTATATTTAAGTTGGTTTTGATTAGGTATGACATAAGGCAGAACATACCTGCTTAGTAAACTTACTCAATGACGTAATACTTAGTTGAGTAAAATGACTGAAATACCCACATATTTGAAAGCAGTGGGTAACGGAACATGAAATACCCACTCAACATTCATAATACCCACTCCAAAAAATACAGTGGGTACAGTACCCACATGAGCTAAATCTTATCTGGAGCTCTGCTTTACAATATCCATCAATCCCTTTTACAATATGCAAACACACACAGATACTATTGACCTAATCATATAAGGTCATTAAACACATAGTCCATCATAAAGCTGTATTTTTAGTTGTTGAAGTATTACTGCAGAGAACATGCATGAATGCAATGTTTGAGAGAACTGACCCACTTACGACTTTGCAAAATGATCTACAGCCATGTTTGTGTACAGAAACACCCACACATAGGGAAATCCCTGTCTAAACATAGTGGGAACATCAGACAACCCCAGTAGTGCACTGATCAGAGACACGTAGAGATCCTCATCTTCAGTAAACCATGCTTGTCATAAGAGGAGACTAACAGGATCGGGTGGTCAGGCTCACTGACTTCTTTGACACATGTCATCGTATCCCAATGTAGATTAATGTTCATGTTGATCACTGGATTATCCGGTCCAGATTAAACTATTTACAGATCACTGCCATTCCATAGCTGGAATATTGCTGAGTGTGGTGTAAAACTAAACTCACTCACTCACTGATCAGACATTGCAACAATGTATGCAACAGTATTTCCTGTCAGGTGACCTCATTTGTATATCTATAGAATAATAATACCATATTTACAGCATCGATAACACTGTACATTTATGAATAGAATTTTCCTGATATTGACCAAGTTCTAACAAGTGATTTTACTCCATAATAGATGTCAGTACAGCACTGACCATCTAGTAATGATTCAAATTTGGCCAGCTGTGATTCAGTCAGTCTACCCAGGAAAATAATACTGTTTGTCTCTTCGGTGATTTTATGTGTCAGATAGTTTGATATGCTGCACAACCAGAATCCAGTTTTTGTACAAAGTCAACTGGCAAACCACATTTAGTTGAATACGTTTCTGCTTCATGAGAAGACAGACTTTCACCAAGATATCACATTGGGCTTTGTCATAAAGCCCCTTATCATCAACTTTCTTGAATACACGATGCAGTCTATATTTACAGAGAAAGTGTAATCCCAAACATAACATGTTGAATGTTTTCGTTTCTTAGTAAAAGCTACCGATGCTTGTTATCATTTGACTGAAGCAGATAGCTCCTCATCAATGGTGGCTTTCACTGAGAAAGGTCTCATTTCATTGGTTGATCAAAGCGACATTAAGCCAATCGCTGAGCTTCTTGCAAAACTACTGTGGTCAAATCACCCAGCATGGTTTATATGTACCATAGGACATTAAACAGTGTTAAACAAATTTTCTGAGAATTTATTTCTTCTATCTCTAAGGACAGAGGTAATGCCCATTAAATACAATGATGACAGCTTACTCTC